AGGGTTTAAAATATCCCCCCCCCCCCCCCTTCCCATGCTGCTTAATGGCTCACCTGAAAGTTAGCTTTCTGTTTCCACCAGCTTGTCTAAAAATGGAGCGCGAAGTTTGTTATTTTAGAGTGATCTGTCATAAACATAGGGTTATTTGACTAAAAAGAATGAAGCATTTCTGTTAGATGATGATTGAGCCTCTCATCTTCTATATTCTACCCCCATTAACAGACCAGTAGGTATTGCACTACAGATTAATAGGGACTAATGAAGTTTTCCTAATGGCCAAATACAACTGGAGAAATCCTGTAGTTTCTGGCAATAAACAGGCATCTGATTAAAAGCATAATAATCAGACTTCCCATAAATAGTAATGAGCTTTGGATCTATTGTCATATAAAGCTTTTGCTTTAAAATTACCAGCTCTTATAAAAAGATATTTTTGCATGTTATTCTTCACATAAAGAAGTGGTTCTTTTCCATAAGGAGTGATGTAACAAAGTGAATATAAACTATTCCTCCACATTGTGTTCTAGTAATTCAAATCCATTCTTTCCATGTGGTCTCTCTGTAAAACTATTGTATTTCGGTTGGAAGGTCAAGTAAAGGAAAGATTCTGAGTAACCCAAAGTCAACATAGTGAATGATGTCAGATACGCAATCACTGTAGCGTTGCCTCTCAGAAGATGATGTGCAAAGGGAAACACAAGTTGTCTTTGCTCAGGAAACATCTGGTTGATACTTCATTTCTCAAGCAGGTCATTGGCTGTTTTTATAATTTAGTGGAACAAAAATGTGGGAAGATAGGGAGATAGACTTCCGATATTAACGCACACTGGTAGATGATGTATCTTCCCACCAATACATTTACTTTCCATTATGTTAGTTTTCTATGTATATAGAACATTTTCAAATGGGATCTAATGATTTTTAAATTTGTCTTAGCTGAGAATAATCTCTCCTTGAGCACAGATTTGCCTTCCTCTAGACAGGAGGATAATTCATAACCAAATTTACTGCCCCGTTCTAGTCTTCTGATCAGAGGAGACTACTAGACATTCAGGACTTTAAGACAAAAAACATTTTCTTCCCCACTCTTCTCTTAATGGTTTAAAGACACTTAAAATATCTATACAAAAACAGAAAGGAGGATTTATGACAGGAGGTAAGTTGTTAAAAATCTACATGGACTATTTGTAAGATAAATGCTTTTTGAGGAGCAAACAACAACAAACCTCTATAGCAAGATTAGTTTTGCTGAATTTTATTAGCGGCTTGCAACTGCAAACTTAGGAGGAATCCTGATCAATAAGGTAAAGAAAGGTGGTGTTTAAGCATCCTACTAATTCTCTGCAGCTGCCAATTAAGATATTAATTAGGATTACATATGAACATATAAAAAGAATGTAATCTTTCTCTGTGAGTTCAGTATTCCCTGTTCTTTGAGAACTCAACCATAAATTGTTCTCATCTGGAAGTGGAATTATGAAAGTATTCTGGAATCCTGCTGTGAGACAGGAACATTTTAAATGGGAACAATGCTCCACTGGAAACCTTCATTTCCAAAGTGAGAAGAACTGCATCCTGTGAGTAGGTGTTTCAGTGGAACGTGCCATAATAAGCAATTATGTTGAAAGAGCCTTGAATATAAGTATGAATTTTATCCTTGTGAAAAATTTCCTGCATCCCAGCTGTGCAACAAGTTAAACGGAGAGCTGTTCCTACAGTTTAAGCGTGGGTACCTGTAACATTAATATTTAAGTGAGTTTGTCTTTGTCTATCCTTACTAAATTTCATGCAGGTTTTTAGATTTTTCTAAGGTCTATTTCATCACTGGAGGCAGAAGAGGTTCTATTACAGGCTGGACACACTGGAAGTGTGTCGATTTTTTCCCTAAGTTTTTAATATCCTAGTGCATATACGTATCTTCCAAAGCACGGTAGAAATTGTGTGTAATTTGCTGTAGATGGATGTTTCATATTCAGCTGCAACTCGGAGTTATGGTTTAAGAGTGGGGTTTAAACATTTTTATTAGGATCAGGCTGCCACCATTAATTTTAAAAGTTAATGGATTTTCTCAGCATGGAAGTCATATAATTGATTTGTACATTTGAGTGGAGAGCATGATCCCACAAGAAGCCAGAATTGCCTGGCCAACCCATTTACCCTGTGAAAGGCTCATATGATGCTGTTCACCTATTCAAATAAAACCAAACAGTAGGCACATTTCTTCAGCAGGAAATGACTTTGACACTAAAAGGGTCTATTGTCTCGGAGTGTGAGGTGAGTATGTGAAAGAGGACATTGCCTTTCACTGATTTTTCTCTTGTAACATGGGAATAAACTGACCCTTGATAACACGTAAGGCGTGGTTCTAGGAACCATGAAGTAGAGGGTATTATCACTGAATAATGAGCTTGATTAATTCACTACAATGACAGGCAAGCGTGTCAGTAATTTAGAAAAAGGACTTTAAAATCTGTTTGGAATAAGTTAGAGAATATGAATAAACAGGTAATCCGAGGACCCTTTAAGGTCTTTCAGCAAAGACAGACTTAAAAATATCTGCTAGATCACCAAATGCATTCACAGGCATCATACAATGTAATCATTCCCTTTCATAAAGTATGTTTCACAAGCATGTATTCAACCCATCTTCTCTTTCAGACTAGTGATTCTGTATGCTTCATAGCTTTGCTAGTAAGTTTATTGTGAAAATACAACTTGAGTAGAGAACTAATATTTTGCTTGTCATCATTTTTGTGATCAGTAGATATTGGAATATTTTATGACAATATAAGGGAAGGTTTTTTTCACAGTGATGATATCAGCAATGAAACAAGTGGCTCTGAGAAACTGTGAAATCTCCTTTTTTGGAGATACTCAAAGCTCAGCTGAGCAAGGCCTGAGGCAATTTATCTGACCTTGAAATTAGAGCCAACTTCAAATTTGGTGCTGCACTGGGCTGCAGGTTGGACCAGCTGATGAGATGATCCCATATGTCCCTTCCAAGCTGAATTATTGTATGATTTTTAATAATGATAAATCCAGGAGATTACAGTTTGAATCCTT